ATATAGTCAAAATCTTCATAAAACTCCCATTTTTCGTATATTTTTATTTTTTCCTAATTATTAAAAAAATTACATGGGTAATTTTATCTTTTGACTCCCCCAAGTTAAATTTCCCGGTAAAAATTTTAAATTTAAAGTTTGATGCATGTTCAATGCTCTGCAAAAGGTAATGACTGTCACAAAAATCATAAAAGTCACACATAAATTTCGTTTTGAAAATCAATACGTTCATCACAGAATGTAAAGCATTGATTTATTCGAAAATCAAATCTCGTATATAATATCTAACCAACCATTTTAGTTGTTACGGAAACCAAAACATTTTCGGGAGTAATTATGAATGTTAGGGACGCAGTCTAAAATCCTGCTATACTATCACAGACTCACAGTTTTCTAAAACACCGATAAATCCACGTGTACCCAATATAATATCAGATCCATAAATCCATTTTTACGGCATTTCAAGCTTATTTTATTTTCGAATAACATTATGAATTGATTAAAATATAGGTCTGTATTCGTTAAACTAATTTTATGCGCAGACAATGAGACCTTCGGCGAGCACCTATCTATTCGCTGGTATAATCGTTGTTACTTAAAATTCGTCATTATAATTAATTGTGATAATATTAATGACTAACAGACTGTGTTTTATAATAGTGTGCACTTGTCTACCGTAAGAAATGTGAACATTGGTCTATTACTCTTGTGTTTGACGTCTTATTTTTTAAATATTATTTTTATCGTGTTACATATTAGTGTGTGTGTGTATTCGCACAGTGCCCAATGGACGTTATCAAAATAATATTGTAATTACGGTTTTTGTTACAATTCTGTGATAACATTATAAGATGCCATTTATATGATTAATGAGTAAGTTGTGTCCATCTGAAACCCACTCGACTCAATGACGGTCACATCGATGTACTTTTGCTGATCGACAATATCCAGTAACGATTGTATTGTTGTACTATTATTGTTAACAATGACTCTGATGAAGATTATCACTGTAAACTTACTGACAATCGATTAATAGTACATTCGTTCAGATTCTTCTTAGTTATCAAATCTATTTAAAAATAGTGTCATATCTGCAGTTGATTTCTGTTCAGTCGTTGCTCATTATATTATCTATATATATATTATCAGTTTTTGTTATCATGGTCGTCGTACCTCCTAATGTAAGGTAAGAAATTTTCTTTTTACAATATATTCGTATTTTCTTAGTTTTATACACACTTTTGTAATGTTCAATAATATGTATGTCGTTGAACTTGCACAAACAACGGCATAATGTAATAATTAGCAATCAATACAATCTAAGATAACAAATTACTATCAAAAAGTAGGTACATTAAAAATTGTATTGATATTAGTTTTATATTTTAGTATAGGTTACTTTATGATCAGGTTAAAAAAAAATAATTTTCTTTGATGAATTTAATTCAAGTATTCAGATGCACAATTTACATAATATAAGAAACAACGAGTTATAAAATTGGTAGGTATATAGAATAAAAAATGCATGAAAAAAAATTAGCAGTAATTTATTATAATATGATTTGTGAATTTGTTTAAAATGTTTAAACTTTAAATGATTGTTATTCTAAAAAGAGTTAATTTGAATAACAGCAGCTATCAGCTAGTATCGGTCTGGACATGGCCACGAACTTGGGCACCTCCTCGTTTTTTTAGGGTCTCGTAAATTTTTTATTTACTTATTGGTTTGTTATTCCTGGTGTATATGGAGAGTAGGGACTCCGTAAATGTAAGATATTAATGGAAATATTAAAAAGCATACGTAATTATTAGGTGAAATTTTTCTTTACAGGACCGTTGTCGGTCCCGAGAAGTTTTTGAAGTCTTTGTGTTTCATTATGAGACCCCTTCAAAAACTGATCCATGGATCTTTGGTGCGCCAAGCGAACACTGGCAGCTATTGTGTTTTCCAATAATAGTAATAATAATAGTACCTATATCAGGAAAGTATAAAACAGATATGAATTTTTGTTTCTAATAACTTGAACTCTGCAGTGAGTTTCAATGCATTATTTATAATATCATATATACTGGGTAGATACTAGATACCACTTACCACCTATATCATAGACACCTTGAATCAATCACTGATAGCGTATCTACCTGCTACCGCACGTATTAATAAACAGACGTACGTTGCGCCGGCCCGGCCCATTTCAAAATTTTGGAAAATTTTTTCACCAATATTTAGCATGCAATTAGCATGAATTTGCACGACTAAAATTAGAATTTGCATGATATTGGTTTAACGGTTAAATCCAAATTTTGATGAGCCGGGCTGGCGCAACGTTGCGCTAGCCCGGCACAAAAGAAAAAATATAGATATGGAATATATAAATATACCAATATTTAGCACGCCATTCGCATGAATTCGCACGACTGTC